TATTCTATTCTATTCTATTCTATTCTATTCTATTCTATTCTATTCTACTTTCCAATATGTATTCTGTTCTATTCTATTCCCTATTCCTATTTCTATCCTATCCTATCCTATCCTATCCTATCCTATCCTATCCTATTCTACTCTACATTCCAATATGTGATGTGTTCTGTTCTGTTCTGTTCTATTCTATTCCTATTCTATTCTAATTCTATTCCTATTCTATTCTAATTCTATTATTCTACATTCCAATACCTATTCTATTCTATTCTATTCTATTCTATTCTATTCTATTCTATTCTATTCTATTCTATTCTATTCTATTCTATTCCTGTATTCTACTCTACTCTACTCTACTCTACTCTACTCCACTCCACTCCATTCTATTCTACATTCCAATATGTATTCTGTTCTGTTCTTATTTCTATTTCTATTCTATTCCTATACCCTTCTGGGAGGGAACTTTTTGGAGACTCTTCCTGGGAAGATCTCCCCTTTTTTCCCCCCTGCAGAGAAACCTTCTTACCCGAGGGTATCTGAATGGGATGTGGGGTTTATGATAGCCGACAGCCAGAAAAAACTTCCTCTTGATTCCCTGCAGACTCTTCAACAAATGGATGGCCTCCTCGGTACTCTGGATATCTGGCAAAGTAGCCTCGGGCATCTCGGCAACCTCCACAGGACAGATCAAATTGGCGTGAAGCTTTCCATCTTTGCCTTTGCAAACCTGGAAGGCAAACAGCAACCGTCGTAAAACAAATCTGGCCGTTGGAAGGAGACCAGGGCAAACTTAACAAGCCTACAGAAAGACTGCAGGAGTCAGCCTCACCGTCAGGAGGCCGCGTGAGTTCGATCCTAGGTAGAAGCAGGTATTTCTCTCTCTGAGCACAATGAGAATATATCTGCTGAATAGAACTCTATACTGGTGACAGGAAGGGCATCCGGCCAGTAAACACTCAGCTCCGTTCAGCTGCCCCGATTCCATCCCGCAAGGGATTATGGGGTCGTTTAACTTGCAACAGGACTGAAAAAAGTGACGGACGGCTGTTTTTCATACCTTCAACCATTGCAATATCCCGACAGTCACGTGGTCAAAATTTGGACGCATTGCCGCTGATTCTTACTTATGACCATTATAGCATCCGGGGGGCGGGGTGTCACGTGATTCCCTTTTTGTGACTTTCTAATGAGCAAAGTCCACGGGGAAGCCTGATGCACTTAACGACCGTGTCCCTGACTTAACCAGTGCAGCAACTCACTGAACCACTTGGGGCGAGAAAGGTCTTAAAATGGGGCAAAAACTCAACAATGCCTCACTTAGCAACAGAAATTTTGGGCTCAGTTGTGGTCGTAGGTCGAGGACTACCTGTATGACCACAGACTGTCTACGACCACAGCGCGTCCGTCTACCTTCGTGTTCTCGTATTTTTCAGAAGACGGGTGGAAAGCCGGAAAGGACCAACTGTACGGATAATCGTCACTGTGGTTTGAGGAGATGCCTGGGAAACAGAAAGGTGAAACGCAGGTAAAGCTGGACCCAATCCTTGGATTGGGGTCTCAAACCCTTTCCTGGGGTGGGGGGGTGGGAAGGGCAGGTCTTGGGAAAGCTCACCTGGGTGGAACACCTTCCCAATGGACATGGTGATGTAGCCGTTTTCCTTGAAGTACTGCGGCAATGTGGTGAAGTTTCCTGCGTGGGTTCGCCAGTACGAGTTGAAGTCATACAGCCTGGTGGAATCTGGTCGGCGGCCTGTGAGGAAGGAGACTCTGCTTGGGGCACAGACAGCTTGCTGGAGGCGAAAAAAGAAAAAAACAGAGAGAGAGAGAGAGAGAGAGAGCCAACAGTCATCAATCGTGTTCTCTAGTTAGAATTTTGCACGGCAGAAACTTCGGTCACCTAATTACTATCTTTGAAAAACTATTTATGGAATGCACCTGCGGTTTCCAAGCTGCCGCACTGCTCCCCGCTACCTTTCTGTTGGCAACTCTGAAAAGACCAGAGGAATATTTGATGAGTTGACACCCAGCAACCTGGCAGAGAATCAGTTGCTGGGATTTTTGCATCCCACCCCTGGATGGTTCTATGCTCGCCGGCCATTTCCGAGGCCCGATTGGAAACCAGTCACAGCCCACAGGTTGATCTGGAGGTGTGATGACCCAGGGCATGGCACAAAAGCAACAAAAGTAGGTAAAGTCCCTTGAATTCCTCCAACTTGGCCCCGAATGTCCAGTTATCATCAGCTGGAAGAGAAAAAAAACTCTCCCAAGAACAGTTTTTAAAGGGAAGAAATTCAGTCCAAACCCAAAGTACATATAGATTATAAATAAAAACCAACACAAACCACGCTGCAGCAATTAACAAGACAGGGCATGATAAGGAAACACACACAGTTGGGAGGACTTGGAAACCAGATAAGACTTGACAAAGATAATTCACGCTTTGCTTCCAGCAAGGAGTTGTGTGCAAACACCCTTTTTATATCCTGTTTTCCCAGCTGCAGCTAATGAAGGGAATCAGGGCTCTTTTCTCCCCCGTAACCCACGTTGCTCCCTTATCTGTTCCTCCCTGTGTGCCCTAGGATGAAGAAGAGGTGGCCCTGGGTCTTTCTCTGCAGGCCCAGCCGGACTGTGTCCTTTCCCAGTTTCTTCCACAGCCACCAGAACCACACTCCCAATCCCTGTCAGCTGCTCGACTTCCCCCTCGGAATCAGATCCCAACAGAGGCATGACAGGAGGAAGGAAAACCTGATTTGTGACGATGCTCCAGACAGCCAGGCACTAACCAAGACACCACCCTCTCCCACGAAAATGAAATAAATGATGAAGATGACCATCCGTTACCTGGGCAAAAGCATTCTGGAACACCATGCTTCTGGAAGCCAGCTGATCAATGTTGGGTGATCTCACCAGGGGGTCCCCGTAAGACCCCAAGGCAGGGCGCAAGTCATCCACCACCACAAAGAGAACATTTAAGCCTTCACGGATGGGCCTCTGGGCATCCTCAGCCAATCCTAATGGGGGAATCAGGAACAGGGTGCTAAGGTGAAGCGGATCATTTTAAGCTTCTTAACTCTCTTTTTTTCTGGTTTTTTTTTTTTTAAAGTACCGTGCGGTGAAGATGATTTATTTCTCTAAACTTCAGGAAGCAGGTTTTAGGCATGGCAAAAAATAAACAACGTACTTCAAATGGGATAATGCACAGAGTTCATCAGATTGGATTTGGATCTTTTAATCATCTCTTCGAATTGCCCTACAGAAGGAGAGGAGAGGAGAGGAGAGGAGAGGAGAGGAGAGGAAAGGAAAGGAAAGGAAAGGAAAGGAAAGGAAAGGAAAGGAAAG